TTTTTTTTTTTTTTTTTTTTTTTTTTAAGGCTAATTCTTTAAGCCCCTCTATATGCTTGAATGCGTCCTCGTTCTGCACCTTCGAAAAGAAAAAAAAAAGATTGAATAAAAATGGAAATAAATGCACTTTGTTCCAATCTATTGGTGGGGAGCGGTACCTGAGTCCTCTTTGTGCTCTCTTCTGGACATGCAGTTTGTGCAGATGCATGCCCAGATGCGTTCAGAATCTTATGTGCTTACTCTCCTTCCTCGCTGCCCTTATAGGGCCTAGTTGCACCAGTCTGTACAGCAATCGCCATCCGCCAACATTTGGAAAGCATCTGGACATGTTTTTTGTCCAGATGCATTCAGAATCTTGGCGGATGACGATTGGTGCAACTAGGCCTCCTTACTCTCGCCATCTCTCTATGTCCGCGGTCTCCCTGTTCTCTCCTCTTTCTCTTGACACGATTGCCTCGAAGTGACAAAAACTGTGACAAACGGTGACAAACGGCATCGGTCTGGCTTTCTCCCTCTCGTTGTCCCTCTCCTTCTATTTCCTCTCTCTCTCTCTCTCTCTCTTTTCTCTGTCCCTCGTCTCTCTGTCTTCTATGCTCTTTCTGTTCTCTCGCTCTCTGCGCCTTTCTTCAACGTTGCGTCGAACTGCAGTAGAGGGAGTGTGACAAGCAATCATGGATCATTGACCTCAGAGAGAGAGAGAGAGAGAGAGAGAGAGAGAGAGAGAGAGAGAGAGAGAGAGAGAGAGAGAGAGAGAGAGAGAGAGTTACGCAAGGTGGGAGAGAGGTGTACTCTATCTTAAACCGTTTCTCTGTCTTTAACTCTCCACCTCTCTCTGTCTCTTTGTCCTGGCCCTAGCGGATTCCTCTCTCTCACTCTCTCGCTTCGCTGTCCTCTCTCTCCTACTGGTTCCTCTCTCTCTCTCCCCCTCTCTTCTCTTCCCTCTCCTTTCGTTCCCTCTGCCCCTTCTCTGCCCTCCCTCTCCTTCTACTTCCTCTCTCTCTCTCTCTCTTCCTCTCTTTCTCTCTTCTCTGCTCTCTTTCCGTCTGTTTCCACTCTTTCTCTCTCTCTCTCGTTCTCTGTCCTCTCTCTCCTTTCGTTTCCTCTCTCTCCCTCTCTCTCTCTCTCTCCCTTTTCTCTCCCTTCTCTATCCTCTGTTTTTTTGTCTTTCCTTTTCCTCTCTCTTCTCTTCTTCACCTTTCTACCTAGTCTCTCTCTCGTTCCTGCACCCTTGCCGCTATTGTCTACTCCTTCAATCTCCCTCCGTCCGTTTCTCTGTCGCCTTTTACCCCCTCCTTTATTTCTCCTCCTCTCCTCGATTTTGCTCTGAAGTCCTTTCGGATCTGAATTGGCAAAAAAAAAAAAGCTCTCCGGTCTGCATTAAGACAAGGCAAAAAAAAAAAAAAAAAGGTCGGCGAGGTGACAAATCTGCGTTCATTTTTTTTTTCTTTTATGCCGATGAAAACGAATGGTAGTGCTTTTTATTTCCCCTTTTTCTTCGTTTTTTGAAAATTTATTTATCGCTTCCACCCCCCTCGCCTCCCCCTATTACTGTATGTTGTTGCTTCCCCCCTTCCTCCCTTCCCCCCTTTCCCCCTTTCCCCCTTCCCTCCCCCCTCTCCCCTCTCCCCTTATTACGCTGCGGCGTTAATCAGGGCAGCATGATCATCCCAATTTCTTTTAGCGCACTCAAATTAGAAAAAAAAGAATAAAAAAGGATAAAAAAGAATAAAAAAGAATAAAAAAGAATAAAAAAATGATTAAAAAAGAAGAAGAATAGTGAAAACAGTGGCCATAGACTGCTTCTCGTACACGCATCGACAGACAGATTTGCATTACTTCTCCGTATCGTGTACTTTTCTCAGTACCTACGTTTCCGAGCATGTGTCTGACAATAGAGGGCTAACGGCCTTGCCCTCTCTCGTTGATTGTAGTCATCTAGCTACAGGCCTAATCGCACACGCGTTGGGTCAGTCTGATGCCTCTTTCAGTTTCGTATTGGCAGTATGCTAACGTCCAAATTCGATTATTCATTTATTTATTTGTTTATTTATTTATTTGTGCAAATTCGATTTTGAAGACCCCCCAAACAGATTGTCCCGCCAAGGTCTCACGAGGGCAATAGTACCTGTCTTTTTTTTTTTTTTTTTTAGTATTAAAAAAGTCTAGGGTGTTGTAGAGGCTAGTCAGTGTGTGCACAGTGATCTCCTGGAACTGTGAGCCGCGGGTGTCCTGGAATATGAGACCACCTCCCAACCCATCCTCACGTCATTACTCCTAGCGCACCCCCTATCCCACTATTCTATCTCAGTGTGCCAGCACTCAGGACAGCACGGGTAGCAGATAACCGGTAGCAGATAACCAGGTGGATTTTGTTTTGCTCGAAAATAGGGAAGTTCAAGGGATACTTCCAGCGAGCTACACTGTGTAGCAAGCAAGTGGATACTCATCCGAATTTCCAGATTAATAAAGAATAATAGCCTATACGCTCTAAATGACAGACCTGCATACCTCTCGGCGATTAATTAATTTCCGATCAGATGGGTAGTAGTGATTCCGGAAAATACAGCAGAGGCTTTTAATGGCCTGAGGCATTTGGGGTTTGGTCTTTGTTTGTTTTTGGCTTTAAAGGTCTGAGGCATTTGTTTTGTTCTTTTCAGAGGATAGGATTTCCGATCATAGGATTTCCGATCAGAGGATTTCCGATCAGAGGATTTCCGATCAGCGGATAGGATTTCAGGGCAGCGGTCCCAGTGTTGGCCATTTCTGTCCCTAGATCTTTCCCGACCTCTGTTTGTGGCTTAAGAGTTTCTTAAGTTTTTTTAGTTTCTTAAGTTTCTTAAGTTTCTTAAGTTTCTTAAGTTTCTTAAGTTGCTTAAGTTTCCAGCCAATTCGGGTTGTAAGCCAAACCGGCTGATGCTGCCGGAATAACTCCGGATTGAATTGTGAGGTCCCCGGCCTCCCTCATTGTTTTTGGAATAAATGATGGCAGTTTTGCTTTAAAAAAAAAAATAAAAAAAAATACAGCAGATTTCAGACCGCTTAAAAAAAATAAAAAAATACAGCAAATTTCAGACCGCTTAAAAAAAAAAAAAAAAGGAATGTGTAACGCTAGGTGGATGGTTCGGTGGTGTGCATGAAAATTGGTTTTGAAATGAGTGAAGAACTGATGGGGAAAAAAAGAAAAGCAATGATGGCAATGATGATGATGATGAGGAGGAGGAGGAGGAGGAGGAGGAGAAAGGGGGAGAAGGAGGAGGAGGAGGAGGGGGAGGAGGGGAAAGAAGAAGTGGAGAAGAGAAAAGGAGAAAGGAGAGGGAGGAGGAGGAGAGGGAGGAGGAGGAAAGGAAAGAAGAGTATGGAGAAGAGGAAAAGGAGAAGTGAAAAGAGGAAGGAGAGGGATTAGATGGGAGGCGGACGTATAGGTCGATGAGCTTAACTGATGAGTGATGCGCGAATCATGCGGATAAGAATGCATCTGGACAAACTGCATGTCCAGATGCGGGAGTCATGCGGATAAGAATGACTGCTTCTAAATGGCTATGGTGATAACGACAGCTTGTAGGAGGGCTGTGCCCGCAGGCTCAATGTACTTTTCTCTCTCTCTTTTTCTTCTTCTTTTTCTTAGACTCAGCTTACGCGCACCTTCCCCACCTTCTCCACCTTCCCCGACGCGCGTTTGGATTGGCTGCGCTCCGATCATCCTCAGGGGGCTTCCGGCGGCACGGTCATTATCTCTGTATGTAGACTGAAAACTTGGCCCAAATACGGACATAATGACCGCACATTCTATTCGGGTTTTGACCATGCCTTGTGGCCAAGAGTTCGTTCCGAAAACACGTGCGAAGACCGTAGTCCTAGAAGAAGTAGGCCAAAAAAAGTCCTTTTTTTCCCTTAAAAAAAAAGGTACCACTTCCCACCAATAGATTGGAACAAAGTGCATTTATTTGCATTTTTATTCAATCTCTTTTTTTTTTTTTGAAGGAGCAGAATGAGGACGCATGCAAGCATAGAGAGCATTAACCCAAAAAGAAGGCGGACGTGGAAAGATGAGAGCCGGATATGGAAATTATGTATATATAAAATAGTGCATCCCAATTTCTTACGATTGCGTATCAGCTTGACGCTGTTGAAAATCAGTTGTTGCTTGACCATAATAGTACACCTGCAGAAGGTAGTAACTATACTACCTCAGGAGGCTTTACTGTAAATGTCTTACAGTTAGCGTTTCACGGTCGCCACCTTCTTATGCATCATGCGACGCCAGGCGATGACCTCAATAACCATCCTCATATTTTTGCCTGTATTTTACATAGACCCGGGCATTATATGGCACTCATTCGTGCAGCTGCCCAGTGGGAACTGTGGGATGGTGGGATGATGAGTCAGGTCATTTTCGACGTGAATGAATTTTTGCGAGCGTTGTCGAATCATACTTTATTCTG